GGCCGGCTTCCACTGCGATGCTTTGAACATCGATCTTTTCGCCAAGGAGTATTCCAAGCGAGGTGCGGCCGCGTATGTGCAGATGATCCAGCGCAAGGAGCGTGAGCACAAGGTGGAGACCCTCACCCACCAGAAGTGGAGTGGCTCTGAGATCGTGGACGAGATGGGCAACATCGTGAGTGGTGGACTCTCCTCGACCGGCATCATGTCTGCCGGCGTTACGGAGAAGCAGTTCTGAGCAGCTCAAGCCGTTTTGGCTCGCACAGAGTGTTCCTGACCTTCTTGGAGAGCAAGGCTCAGGCATGCAGATTTTTCGTCACTACCTGACAGAATGATAGTTGCACAGGGTTTTCAGGGCAGGCCTGTCTGGTCGACCGGCAAGGTCGCATCCCTTTCTCAACCCACGAGCCCCGTGAAAACAAGTGTTTCTCGAAGCCTTTGGGCTTCGGCTTAGGGTCAAAACGTCAAAACCCAAACAGAGACAGGTCTTGCCTAGGGCCCCTGGCTTATGCTCTTTTGGCACCATGGGCCGCGGTACACTCGGGGTGTTCTGCCTCGTTTGGCGTGCGGCCGATTTCAAGAACGAGACGAGACCCAATGTGGCCAGCAAAGCAGAAAAACGGGCAATCCTCATACCTCCGCGTCATGCCTGCATACTCTCCTATCATCATCGTGTGGCTATGTACTTGGTGTTTTTTTAAAACCTTCGTCATCAGGCCAACAGGCCCTAAGGGGCTTCGAGCCGCAGGTTCCCGGCTTGGGGGTTTCAGGGTTTTGGGATGGAGCAGTGGGGGGGTTCTCCAAACGAGGGTCCCTCTTTTTTTTGGGGGGGTCCTTTTTCTACGGGCGCCGATGAAGATTTTACCGTTTGTGTCGTCTCAGAGCTGAGAAGTGTAGTGTCTCAGCTCTACACATGCTCCCTGGGTTGGCAGACCCTGGCGGTTTGCACAAGTCCAGATGCGAAAAGACCCGAGCCACCCAAGACCCGAGCCACCCCAAGGAACATGGACGTCGGGGCGCAGGGTGCCGTGCGGCGAGCAGCCGGTGATGAATTAGAGGTCGGCATGCCCTAAACAGCCTAAACCAGTGCTGAAACCAGATTTTCCGAGCCTTAACCCTATGCCCAGAGCGAATTGGGCTTAGGGCTTCAGGGTTCTAGGGTTCTCGTTCCTCTTGCAGAGCCGGAGCACGATATACCACTTTCTGCACTACGCCGTACTAGGCTCCCAACAATTGTTCTCATTTCCTGCGAGCCCAAACCCGAAACTCTGCAAAGGCCTCAAATCCCGAAGCCAAAGCCCGCAAAGCCCCCAGCCCTCCTAAACCCTAAACCCGCCAACTCGTGCAGTAGTTCTGAGGGTGTAGATGGACACAGAGACCTCGTCTGACGGAGTCCGAGTTGCGAGAGCATAAACCCTAAAAACAGAAAGCCCTAACCGTCCCTGCGGTGCGACTTGGTCAGCTGGGCGGGTAGGGGAAATGCCCTAACCGTCCGAGAGGAAGCCGTGGCCCAGCTTCAGAGGAACTGGGAGCCGACCCCGGTAACCTTTGCGACTCCGGCCTGCTTGGAGTAGTTTAGGGCTTTAGGTTTTGATATATAGCGTTTATAGTTTAGGGTTTGGGCGAGAGAGATAGAGGGCTTAATGTAGAAGGATTCGATAAGGGTTCCTTTAAGGGTTCTATGAGGCTGCTAGCAAGGTTGCTAGAATAGAAGGGATCCTACACAGGTTCTACACAGGTCCCGTTAAGGCTTCTATCATGATTCTATAATGGTTCTGTGAGAGTTTTGGGGTTTCAGACTTGCCGTCGGAATGGAGGTAAAACTAGTTCGAGGGCGCAGTTTCGGTGTGGGGCGTAGGGTTTTTGCGGGGAGTGGAGTTGCGAAGCAGCAGGCTCTGGCTCTTGGGCTCCTGGGTGCCCAAGCCGAATTCTTGAATTGAAAGGCACCTTCTAGATTTTAAGCCGTCAGCTACGGCAATTCAGAAACTGAAAAGCCTCAACCCTGCATACAGTGGCTTGGACCCAATCATAGATACCATCAGGATCACGCTTCGACTCCTCTGAATATTGTCAGCATCAACTCGAAGCCAAAGCCTCAATCCCAAGTCTTATAAGCCTTATACATGTCGTAGTCACCACCGTCGCTTGCCATACTCTTTTCAACGCAAAAAATGCAAAGATGCTTGTCCCCCCCAACAAGGGCTCTCACCTCGAGGGGGGGCCATTGGATGGGATCCCCTCCGCTTGCTCCCAGGTGACTGGCGGACGGCTTTCAGAGTCTTGTTTCGCAGACCCAAGGTGTTGCCCCGGTTAAGCTTGAGGCTTTACGGTTTGGGGTTGGGGACAATTGAAGGCGTGGTTTAGGCCTTCAGGGTCGATTCTGGGCATCTGGAAGTTCAGCGGCGTCCTTTTCGCAATTTGGGGGCAATCATCACCCTACGAGTGCCCAGGCATCGAAACCGGAACCAGCACTTTCAGCCGTAACCCATGAACTTGGAAGCCCTCCAGTTAGCTTTCAAACGGCACCCGACGGTCTCCCGGGAGTAAGTTTTCTCAAACCCTATAAGCCCTGCATGATTCTACAGAACTCGCAGGGCCCGGGATTCCGAAGCCCTAAGCCCCCCAAATCCGAAATCCCCAAACCCCCCTAAACCCAAAAACCCTTTTTATTTTCGGAACCTATAAGGGAAACCTTATCCCCTTAAAGGAACCCCTTAAAGGAACCCCTTAAACCCTTCAAAGGCAGAACTCTGTCAAACCCAGGAGAAGGTCGCCCTGACCTTGACCGAGATTCCTTCCTCGGTGCTGCGCGTCTTCCAGAACTGGCAATCGGCTCCTTGATCCCGAGGGTGTTCACAGGGCTGGTTAAGGGTTCCTTTAAGGGTTCCTGAAAGGATTCTATATAGGCTCCTACTACGAGAGTTTTGGGTTTAGACGTTTTAGGGTTTAGGGGTGCGGGATTTAGTTCGACTGCAGGGGTTTAGGCCTTAGGGCTTTGGAATCTCCCATGGGTTCAAGGCTTCCTAGAAGAGACCTCAGCGAAACCAGCACGGAACCCAGGAGGATAAGCCCACACTGTAGACTTCGTCTTTAAGGTCTTCTTGGGCTGCGGGGATTCGGGCTCCAGGTCCTTCAGGGACAGAGCATAGACCTGGTTTTGCACACAAAGCTCGAAGCCTTGCCTCCTGAATCCTTAGGGCTCTGAGTCCTCGCTCTTGAAGCGCGAGGTTGAAATTATCTTTGCAGTCTCGCCATGTTGCTAGCGGGAGAGCCGTTGCATGCGGCACAGATTTCCTCGTGGGTAGTGCGTAGGACGGGTTCTTGTTTCGCTTTGGTGCTACGGATGAATACAAGGGTGCGACTGCGTGTGGCTGCTGCTGATGCCAGGTGCTAATTGGGGTAGTCGTTCGGGTGATGCTGCTGCCGTTGTTCTCACGGTCTGACTGAATTCCAGCGGCGGGTGTTCATTTTCTCGCTTTGCCAGGACGAGGAGGATCGGCACACAGTGTTGATGTCGCGACTCGGCACAGCCACCCAACCCTGCTGAGCCGCAATGCACTGGGAGAGGGCTCAAGCTTGGCCCCGCAAGATGTCGCTCACAGTTATCTCGTTTGAAACCTGGAACTGCACACCTTTCCCAGGTGGCTTGATGAACTGCACGATTCGCTCTTGAGCGCAGTGCCCTCTGGTCTGAGATTTGATTTCGTTCGAAGTTGGTTCATTCAGGTGCCGATGCGCCCAAGCCCTGAACCTTCGACCTTGAACGCCCAACCCTAAACATCCACCAACTAAGTGAAAGCCTAAACCCCTCATCCAATTCGCAACGGCCCTCGAAGCGCGAGTTACCCTTTCTTGCAATCATTATTTGTATGAGCATGATGATGGAGCGCGGAGAGGGTGGTCAGTTATTATTGTTATCGGTATTGCAGGTTTTTCGTGACGATGATAGATGATGATGGCGATGGGGTTGGTGGCGATGAGAATGATGTTCATTCTTCTTCTAAGCATTCATGCGGCAACCCTTTTCTGTTCCGATTCTTGCTACTTACTTGTTTTTTCTTGCTTGCTTGCTTGCCTACGGCCACCGGACGACGACTACAACGATGGCGACAACGACGATGACGACGACCGCAACAACAAGAACAACTAATGCTACCACGATTACTATCTCGATTTCTGCTACTATTCATTATCCCTACTTTTACTTGTCGTCATTATCGTTATTTGCTTCTTGCGTCAAGGCGGGCGGCAGGTCATCGAACGCTGGCAATGCCCACGCTCTGCACTGGAGGTATCGGAATCCCTGTGCAATTTGCCGCTCGAGAGCATTCAGCTATACTGTACAGGCTCCAAACAAGCACATGACTATAAACCATTGGATCCTGTCCTGTCTGTGATTAAGGATATGATATTCGAAAGTTCTAGCTTTGGGTGCATTTTCGGGCCCCCTACCCTTGAGCCCGATCACCGAAGCTGCAAATTCGCGATAAAACGGTGGGCCCGGAACTAAAACCCTCCTCCCAAAGCCCAACACCCAGGTGGGCGTGGCTGTGGCCCGGAGTGTTTACCGTGACTTCCTTGCGCATCCAACAGATGCTTGCCTCAGTTTTGTTTTTGCTCATGGTCACTCAGGGGGTAATGTATGCTAGTTACCCCTAGCGGCTTAGGTATGCAACGTGTTAAAGAATGGTCAAGAGGATGTTCCTGAGGTTTAGGCTCGAGTAGGATCTAGAGAGCCTAACTTGCGGCATCTATTGCCCCCCCCCAACAGCTCTCACAGTCGTGCTTGCAGCAACCAAACACAGCAACTATGAATCATGACAACACTGATGGTAATGATGACTGCGCGAATAATATGTAAGACTAAAAGGGAGACAGTTGCAAGGACCCTCTTCGCGTTCGAATCTGCTGCTTCGAGCCCGGCCACCTTCATATGGTGCGGGTTGGGGCCTCAGAAACTTCAAGGCATTGGATCCATGTGTCCCTCGGCGTGAGGAGCGGTTTCAAAGACCTTCTTAGGTAGGGCATCAGGGCTACTGGGTCGAAAGGCCTTGCTTTCATCCTCGGGGCGACGACCCGTGACATTCAGATCTGTTGTTACGACAGCCCGAGGCGATCAAAGACGAGATCGTCGACAACTTCTACCGCCCCGAGACTGCGGAGGAGCTTCGTTGGCCTCGCACACACACACACATGCACGTGGATGTGTACTTGTGCACCCACACAAACATATAGAGATGCACACATACACATACATGTATGTATGTATGTATGCATGCATGCATGCTTGCATGTATGTATGTATGTATGTATGTATGTATGTATGTGACGCATATGTAAGTACATCCTGATGTTATCTTGGGATCCTTGTACTTACGATGCAGACATACAGTGAATTGCGTACACGCCCAGAGATGAACAGATGTAGGGATGGCTAGGCAGTGTTGTCATGATGTCATCGCTTCAGAAGCTTGGAAGGCTGAACCTTGACCCTGAGCACCTTGAAAGGGACGTAAGCTTGAGTGGACCAGCCTGAAGACCTCATCCAAGCAGCACAGGATCTCGTCACGCTTCTCCAGCGGCCGCGTCCTCAGTGCTTGGGGGCACCTAACCCTTTCAACGAGACGAAGAGAGGATGTAAGAGCATGATGCTACCCTACAACTGAGAGGCCCTTGGTGGAACAATGCAACAATAGCCTGATGCATTGGTTCTTTCTGTTTGGCGGAGCCAGCCTGCGGAGAGCCCGAAGCTCGGCGGGCTTAGGCTTGGGATTTTGGGTCAACCCCAAAGCCCGAGCCCTGAGCCCTGCAACCTTAAAACCCATGAAGCCTTTAATCCCTAAGTTCCTAAACTCCTAAAACCCTAAACCCTCCCAAGCCCTCAGCCGGCCCTCCAAAGCGAGGTCCAGCCGTGATGGCCGCCCACCGAGCCCCAACGAGGCTGCGAGGGGCTCCGGGTTTGCGGCTTAAGGGGCTTTGGGGTTTAGGGTTTAGGGTTCGCTGCCTCGCTGCCGGCGACTACGACAGACTCGAAGCGTTCCACTCACAGAGTCACCGCAAAATACTCCACATCAAAGGCACCTGCTACACTCAGATCCTCGATCCCACGGCACGCGTCTACACCAACCAAGAGATCCACGCTCTCCCTGAGCAGCGCCCCCTTACACACCACATTCACAAAGCACAGCTGACACTTTTCGGGCACATTCTCCGATCCCATCCGCATAATACAGAACGGCTCTGCTGTCTTGCTCGTACTTTTCAGTTCCAAAGTTTTTATCGGTGGGTGCAGGCCTAAGGCCAGGCAGGAGGGGCAGGAGGCGAGCAAAAATTGGACAATAGAACAGTGCACTAAAGTCGCTCGGCACTGGATTTAAAGTCGTTTAGACTCCGCTTTGCCCTTTCCATATCTACAAGCTCACAGATGAGATGTAGACCGCCAATTTTGGAGTACTGTGGTGAGGCTGCCAAGGGGCAAAACACTCCTCACAGCTACCTCTTACTTGATTTAATCACGGACTTGAGATCGCTTGGAGTTGCGTCATGTGAGTTGCATAGGGCCGCCCAAAAAGAGGGCTTCACTGCGAGCTCCAACAAGCCTGTGGAAGGGCTTCACTGTTTGGGATTCAGTGCTTACTCTAGGGGCTTAAATAATTACCAATACAATTGTGGGGTTCCTTATCCAAAGTTATAGCATCGTATACCCCAAAACCCTAGTCTAAGTATTATTAAGGCCCCCACTGGCACGGTTTAGGGGCTTCGGCGCTCTCGCGCTCGGGGGTTTCGCGACTGCGGCTTCCTGCGCAGACTGGGTGAACTCGTTATTGAGATAGGAGGGGGCCGCCAAAAAGCTACTTGGGCGGTTGGGCGCACTCACTCTAAGAAGAGTTGTCCAAAAGCCTTTCAAGGAGGACCCCACCTCGGAGGACGACCAGATGATGGCTCTGTGACACTGGGAATTCGTGCGATGGTTAGGGTTTGGGATCAGGGGTTGCAGATTCTCCTCGCCCGGCGTCACTGAGTTCTCCTTCGGAACTATTTTCCCAATTGCAGCAATCGTCAAGGATACTTCGCTACAGGTCCTAGAGGGCTATATGTACTTAGAAGCCATGTGGAGTTCCTCGAGGGCCCAGCCTTTTGTACAAAGATCACCCGGGGGGGGCTCCAAAAGGTGCTGCGAATGCGCCGGAGTAGCACAGATTTTTAACCCTTAAACCCTTATACCCGAAACCCGAAACCCTGAACTGGACAGTGAAGCCCAAAAGCCCCAGCCAAACCTCCAGGCCCCACTCCCTGAGGAGCCCCTCCAGGTCACGGTGAGTCTTAAGTTGCCCCAGCTGTGCTGCTTTTGATCTCACCGGTTTCAGTGTGCGAAGGATAGCAGGGTTCCTTATCTCTAGGCTCCAAGCTGAAGTGTTTAGAAGGCTTGACTGTTGGGGTTGAGCACCTCCCTTTTGGCCCCTTGCTACTTGTGATCAGGCTTCTCAACACCACAAATTTTGTAGGAGCCATCGGCTTGAACACCCAAGACCCAGACGAGACCGTACAGACTTCGTACCGCAGCTGTTGGAGGGTAGGCCAGGGGAAAACTGGGAGGTTTCCTCAAGAGTCTCCGTTTGGGTAGGATGACAGAGGCTTGATTTGTGGAGATCGCCAGATTTCAATCTCTGAGCAGCCATGAGTACTTGTAGCATGACTTGGTAGCGCAGGAGCGTCATGCTCTGGGATTTTATGCTCAGCTTTGCTTGTTGCAGTTCAGAGGCTTCGAACATCAGGAGAACCAAAATCTAAGCCCTGTACTCCAAAAGCCTCAGTGCTAGGTTTTAGTCGGGAAGTCTTTGGTCCTTGGCGGACGCTGCCCCTGCACGCCATGGTGGGCATGGCCCCTGCAGAGGATGGCCCAGGCGGCCTGCAATGCATCCCAAGTTGGAAGCCATTGGTACAGGGAGGGTTCACGGTTGAGGGGTCGGGGTTTAGGGTTTACGGGAGGGGGTGAAGGTTGAAGGGTTCGGAGTGATTCCCCCTGCTCTTTGATTGAGCTTGTGGGAGTTTTTAGAAAAGCAAGGGGGCGCTAGGTTGGATACTGAGCAGTGGCATCCTTATTCTAAGGACCCATGGATGAGGCACCCACCCAACTTTGACAACCCCCCCCGTTCCCGAGGCTCTGCAGTAATTAATTGCTGGCAAGCATTCCGAAAGGCAGCAGGCGATGCAAACAGGACGAACCAGGGCATAAACCCCCAAGCCCTAGACTCTAAACCCTTAACCCCTTAACCCCTGCAGCCATCGGCCGTTCGGCCCTCAAAGGGTGTGAGTCGAAACCCTAAAGCCCTCAAGCCCTTAACCCGAAAGCGCAGCGAACCAAGCATGTTGGGGGAAAAACAAGAAATCACCCAACATGCAAGTCCTCAAACGAGGCCAGGGCAAGGCTGGCGCCTCTGGGCTGCAATGAGCAGAGAGGCTTCTGAAGAGTTTTGCAGGGGGATCGAGGGGTACACATGGGGGCTTCGAGGGCTTCTCGGCGCCTCTATCGGTTCAAGGGATTTCGGTAGGTTTTGAACCCTTTGGGCTTTGAGTGTTTAGGGTGTTCTCCTCTGTCGTATGCTTATTCCACGGGTTGTCATTCCAACCCTGGTAACCAGCACTTTGAGTCAAGCTGTTGTTCGCCGCTCCGTCCTTTTTGCGGATCTTGGGACTCTTGTCTAGGGGTGTGATTGCGTGCATGGTGCTCCGATAGTTTGAGGCAATTTTGCTTCGTTGGCTCCCAACCCCGAGCCCGCGCACCCTGAAATCAACGTCCTACACTCCATAGACCCTCGGGCTTAGTTTTAAACAGCGACGCTTGATGCGAAGCTGCCCCAGTGGCCGCCACAATGCTCACACGCTTGCTGTCACTACTTAGAATGTTCGCCATGTTGCTATATTTTCGACTGATGCTGTGATGAGCAGGGTCCCAAACCGCACTCAAACTGGGATGTTTCCATGTTAGATCTGTTAGGGGCTTATTTAGAGCAGATGGATTAGGGGACAGCCCCAGTGTATGGCTGATGGTTTTTGTTGAGGTGCCTTTGGTGGCAATTTGGGGGTTTCTCGATGCTGATGAATCTTAGATGCAGATGACTGTTGGTGTTCTTGATGTGCTTGTGTCTGCGCATGGCATCCCAATTCGCCGCCCACGCCGGCTCGGAGAGCATCAACAGAATCTTCCGCCTTCGTCTCATCTTCGAAGCCTCGCGGCGCCTCGGACCGCAGGGTGTTTAGGACTTTAGGATGTGGGCAGGGCCAAGGATGCAGCTTCGGGGTTGCAGGGTTGAGAATATGGCTCTTCTCAGCAGGGTACCGCCGAGACTCCAAAAAGCTCCCAGAGAAGAGTGGGAATTGGCGCAGATGTGGAGCGTGATGGAGGTGCAATAGAGGCGGAACCCGTAATCTTGTGGACCCCCACCCTCCTTGCGTCGGATTTGCTGAGCGAGGACTTCTACAAAACTCAACGAACCCTCTGGTTTGACCACAATCTCGTGAGAGCAACGACAGTCAGGCAGACCATCATGGCGCACCGTGTGGCTGTCCTTGAGAAGCAGATCCTCGCAAGCGTGCCCCGGCTAAGGTGTTCAGAGGGTTAAGGGCACTTCAAGAGCGAGGGCAGGCGAGGTCATGGCCGAGGATCAGGAGGGCTTCAGGCTCAAGATGTTCTTTTTTGGTTTGCGGGTGCAGGGTTTGGTGGTTGAGGGTTCTGGGCTGGAGCAGTTGCAGCGCGAGGAGGAGAAGGTTTAGTGATTGCACTGGCAGTGGTCGTGGTAGGGGCAGGGGCAGGGGTTGTAGCAGTGGAGGTGGTGGTGGCAGTGGTGATATTGTAGTGGCTGTAGTGGTGTTGGTGGGATGGGGTAGTGGTAGTGGCGTGGGGGTAGTAGCAGTAGTAGTCGTCGTCGTCGTCGTAGCAGTAGCAGTAGCAGTAGCAGCAGCAGCTGTAGCAGCAG